TTATTACAGAAAATGCAAACAAACAACATAAGCTGCTAAGTGGAGTCATGAAAGGAAAAGGAAATCTAGCAGAAATAAAGGTTCTACTCTTGTCATTTTTAAGATACTCCTTTGTTAATATATTAGAATGTAGTAGAATACAAGATAGTATACAAGTTAGAGTAGCAAACTTAGAAGAAGTAATCATACAAAGAGTAATAGAAAAAAGAAATATTCAGATAGAGCTTATAGATATTGCAAGGAAAATTAAAAGGAAGAAAGAAATAAGTATTTATACAGATGGTTTGTTGGTAAACAGAGAGTCAGATAATTTAGATTTTGATAAAATGGAAATAGGATGGGTATTAGTTGATGAGAATGCAGGTAGTCAAAATAGTATTAGTTTTAGTAGTAGTTTAGTAAATTGGCCCTCTTCAACTCCTGCTGAGCTTGGTGTGATATGGACAGCAGCTTTAGTAGTACTATGTAATTCAAGCCTAAACATCTTCACAGATAGCAAAGCAGCTATAGAAAGTCAACAAGCTACAGAACCAGTAGGCACTGTATGTGAAATATTTAAGATCAAGAACCATAGTCTAATATAACAAATCAAGGACTGCTACAAGGCAAAAAGCATCAGCTCATATAAGTAGATTTTTTTCTACTTAATATTGTCACAAAATTCTATTTTGTCACATATAATTATTAACCAATCAAATTCATTCTATTCGATTATATCACCTAAGTTATATTTCAAATGTTTGATCAATAAAAATTTTTTGTATATGTACAAAAATTAGTGTTAATAGCTAGTAAATGCCAACTTTGTCAAGAGAATCTTTATTCACGAAAAGAGCTTGTAACTCATGAAAGAATTAGGCATAGAAATAACAAAACTATACCTCACTGCAAGCTACTTATTCAACCTCCCCTTGAGCAAGTTACATTTTATCAAGATGCATTTATAGTTCTTGTCAAAAAACGTCTTGGCTTTAATAGACATGCGACAGACACAAAACAAGTTTCTATTCATGCTTTTCCAGAAAATATATTTGTTTTCCTTTTTGAAAGTGAACCTTCATTTCATTATAGTCCTGTGCAACGAAAATATTTTTGTTTTTTTCAGGGTGAGGCTAGTGATCAAAGATTGAAACAACTAATTAATTATAACAATTGGAATGTTTGACAAGATCCAAAATTAAAAACTATAGGCTATATTCTATTTGTGGATAATGAGAGTTCATATGGAGTTACATTTAGCTAGTCACAATTAGAATTTAAGGAGAATAATCGGATTTTTCAATGTAGTACTGTCACTTGTAAATTTATAGCGGACTCAGGAGAATTTTCTCAACAGTAAGGATTAGAATATAGGATTTTTGTTAATAAGATGATCTTTTAGTAGTTCTAAAAGGGTTTTCTGTTAGCAAAAATCCTTTTTTTATTTTATTTTATTTTATTTATTTTATTTTATTTTATTTTATTTTATTTATTTTATTTTTATTTGTTTTTAATACATTTAATCTATTTTAT